TGCAGCACATTAAATCCATTGTTTAGAAGTTCAATCACACGTTCCATGTTGTTAGCATGAGCAGCATAGTGCAGAGGGGTGTTTCCATACTGAAAGAAATGAAAAATATCTTAAATTCCATGAAGTGTGAAGTGAGGGTCTATCTAATATAACTGTACACTGTTCAGCTTTCTCACCGAATCTGCAAAGCCATTGCGTGCTCCAAGCATGCTCAGCTCTGTGCGTCTATGCTTCCTTGTTCAAATGTTTGCCTCTGCTTGAGATTACCTGGAATGCACTGCAAATGAAAATGGTAGTTCATTTTTGTTTCTTATTTTCTGACACAGGTTACAGATTTTCCAGTGGTAAACTTGAATTCAATGTCTTATGAATTTTCTAATTTTCGACCCCAGTCTGACATAAAGTGCTGACTGGGAGCACCTAGCAGTTTCCTGTCTGACCGGTTAGAGGAAACAGAAGTTCCTTTATTGCAATCTGCTGCTCAGCCATGCTACAAGAGGGGGGTGAGCTGGCACAGGGGAAGGGAAACCAGAGGTTGGTGGGAGAGGCACACAGAGGGCTGAGGGTGGGGGGGGAGAGGCACACAGAGGGCTGAGGGGGGGGAGAGGCACACACAGGGATGGGGGAGAAGCACACAGAGGGCTGGGGGTAAAGCCGCACAGAGGGCTGAGGAGGCAAAGAAGTGCACAGAATGGCCAGGGGAGACAGAGTGGCACATAGGGGCTGGGTTGGACAAAGACTCACAGAGGGGCTGGGGGGACAAAGAGACACACACAGAGGAGCTGGAGGGGAAAAGAGACACACAGAGGGGCTGGAGGGAAGAAAGGGAGAACAGTGATCAACAAAGCGACTGGGGGGGGTAAAAAGAGACTTACAGAGGTGCTGGTGGGAAGAGATACACATAGGGGCTGGGTGTGGCAAACGTGCCTATGCCACAAGGACTATGGGCAATATCCAAAGACCCCATTCGGGAATTAACCTGCCCAGCTTCCTCTAGAGACTTCTCCTTGTTTCCCCTGGTTCGGTACCTCCCCTCACACAAATTTAGCTGAACATTCGCTCCCTGGCACTCGTTCACAACGAGCATGCAAATAGACTTCAGTGGTACTTAGCCACGATCACTCTGGAACTGTTTTCAGCTATGTGATCTTGCTGTTCCTGGTCATATTGGTCTGGTGTTTTGACATCCTTCCGACCCACCAGGAGAGTGCTTTTTGGAGAAAAATGCCCGAGACTGGAAGGAACAAACGCTCCCTGAGAGCTAGGAGGAGCACCCAGTAGTTCGTCTGCAGGAGCTCCCGAAAGTTGACCGGCAAAAGCACTAATTGCCCTAGAACTATTTTAGGCATGGATCATGTGTGCTGTCAGTCAGAACTTTGCCCTAGAGTGGAGATATGTGTATACATTCTGTTAGCCTTGCCTGAATAAACCAGTTCCTTTTCACCCTTCACTCAGTCTCGACCAGCTGGACCAGCTACCCAGCTATATTTTCTGCAGGAGAGCTTAATCACTTATAGCTGTACCCAGGACCCAGTTCCAGGTGGGAAACAATGGAGAGACCATAGCCAAGCTGCGGTGGCTAGAGGCTGAAGCACTATGGGTGTCCCGCTGGAGAAATAGGAAACAAGCCGGGATACCAGGCGGTCTGTCACATTTTATGTGGCAAACGTGTCTATGCCACACTGGGGAATGAAAAAAAGAGACATACAAGGTTGTTGGTGGAGAAAGACACACACAAAGGGGCTAGAGGGAAGAGAGAGACACACAAAGTTGTCAATTTTTGGTTTGGGGGGAGCAAGTAGATGCTTTTGCCTAGAGTGCAAAATAGTCTCGCACCAGCACTGTTTAAGATTTAAGGCAAAAATAGACAAGATGGATAAAATCCACAAGTCAACCACCAGTTTGGTTATTTTGGACTTAAATTTGAAATTCACATTGGATTTCTGACAACCCTCACTTTAGTGAATAATCCTGATTGTTTTAAATGTTAGACAAAAACATGAAAACATTTTGTATTATTCATTTCATTGCTGCTCAGAATAAAAATGCTGTTAAGACCATCTGATAAGAACACAATTTGTTCAACAAATATTAATGCTGATTATTTAATATTTGCTTATATTTACTGTAAATTTATAATTCTGTATAATTCATATATTTTTGTTCTCTATTATATATGCAGTAAAAATCATATGTCAAACGTGATATGTTAAAATAACTATGTTGGGCAACTATTGAATCCAGACTTGCTCTTTACTTTTCTTTCATGGCTTATAACCATTTCTTCTAAAATAAAAACACCCACACTACCTAAGCAGTATTTACCATAGCTGTCTCCATAACAGAGCTCTGTAAACCTGAATAACTATGTAGCAAATGTCATACTTCCCGCCAGTCTAAAGTCCCTGAATATCAATGCAAGCACTGTTAATATTTAATTGTATTGTATATATCTTTTGTTATATGTGCAATATTGTATGAGTCATGAAGCTTTGAAGATACCCAATACTGCAAAAATACCATTCCATTTTTTCCTGGCAAAACATAACAATTATTTAGACACAGATACATACAAACAAATTGCCCATTTATGTAGTTGTAAAAGCTAAACTGCTGTACAGAACAGTGATTTTCTTATTGTATCTTATCATTTTTTTATTGTTATATTGCATTCCTTCCTGTGATCAGAGTCATACAGGTTTATTACTAA